ATGTGGATTTGGGATGATCTGAGGGAAGGAACGTGGATTTGGGACTGTGTGAGGGAGAGAGTGTAGATTTGGGATGGTGTTGAGGGATAGAACATGGATTTGGGGATGGTATTGAGGGATAGAATATGGATTTGGGATGGTGTTGAGGGATAGAACATGAATTTGGGGTGGTGTTGAAGGACAGAATATGGATTTGGGGATGGTATTGAGGGATAGAATATGGATTTGGGATGGTATTGAGGGATAGAAAATGGATTTGAGGTGCAAACCACTGTCTCCAGGTGGACAGGGCTGATTCCCTGCAGCCATAACTCTGCAGCCTCCCTGTGGCACAAGGAATCTTCACTTGGCCCTATCCAAAGCCAGAAACCTTTCCCTCTAAAGAAATTCCCAGATTTTTACAAAACCTGCCCATAAACCTTGAACAGGTTTGGTGTTAGGAATACCAGACAGCATTGGAGACAAGACTGGGAAAGAGGAGAGGACCTGACATCCCTCTCCAAAGCCTTCCTTGCAAATACCTTCTGTGGCCTCTTCCCTTGGAGGAATTGTTTCCTTGTGCCAGCAAATGAGGAATTACTTAAATATTCCAGCTTGATGTTGTGCTGAATGGCTCTGATGTACTGCAGGCTTTTGGTTCAGCTGGAAAATGTTTTAGTGGATAAAGATTTCTAGATGGTATCGAGGCCCTTCCTCAGAGATGGAAAATTTTCTTCATCTGAAGGTGGATTTTAAGGAATTTGTGTGGAAAGGCCAGAGCAGAGCTCATGTGATGGAGCAAATTCCTTTAAAAATCAAAGAGAGCTCTTGCAGTGACCTGAGCCACCAAGCAGGGCAGGGGGGATGAGGGGAAGATGTGACCCTGCAAAAATGATGCACCAAGAGCCTCTTCCTGCAGGGCCATGGAGAAATCCAGGCCCCAAATTCAGTTGTTTCCTTACTTAAAGTGATAAAAATTGACGTATATGATGTAGGAAGTAATGCTTTTTATAAACATGGATTTAGTCTTCTTTTCAACTTGTGCAGAGCCAGAGGAGGCCGTTTTTGCTTCTCTTTAAAGGGGGTGAAAGAAAAGTTTGCTTTGTTTTCTTTCTCACATGCTGCTTGTGCAAAACCTTCCCCTCCTGCCCTTCCTGCAGCCCCAAACCTCTCCCTCAGCTGTGCCACCCCTCCACTTCCTCCTGCACAAACAAACAGCCTTGATAACATCATAACCCCCTTGATAACAACACAAACCCCCCCAAAAACACTCAGACACCCACGGGAGGGAGAGCTGACAAACCCTTCCTAAAGCCCAGGCAATCCTGCAGCAATTTCAGGTTTCCTTGGAGTCATCCTGAGTCCTCCCCCTCGGCAGGGTAAGTCCTGCATCCAAAATTCTGTGATTTCCCTGTGAACCTGATTTGATCCCAGGCTGAGGCCAGACCCCCACCCTGTGCAGGAACGAGGGGCTGGGCCGTGCCCTGACCTTCCACATTTGTTTCTTTATTATTTTTGGGAATAGCAGGGAGGGTTATTGGGTCAGTAGTCTGAAATCTGCCCAGGATTGCAGTGCTCTGCAGCTGCTCCCAGCTCTTTACCTGACAGAAAATTCCATCTGTCTCCAGTGGCTTTTAAAAAAAACCCAACTTTTTCACTGGGATTTTGCCTCCCTTTCCTTTCCCACCCCCTGCACTTGCTGTCTCATTTTTAAATTTGGTTCTGGAGTTTTCCCTCCTTTGCACTTGCTCAGAGGGATCTCAGGTCCTTCCTGGCTGAGATGGTGCAGAACAGAACTGAGTCCTCCCCTTTGGCAGGGTAAATCCTGCATCCAAAGTTCTGTAATTTCCCTGTGAGCCTGATTTGATCCTGGCTCTGCACAGACACCCCAGCAATCCCACCCTGTGCCTGAGAGCCTTGTCCAAAGGCTCTGGAGCTCTGGCAGCCTTGGGGCTGTGACCATTTTGTGGAATCCTCTCCTTGGGAAGTGTTCCCATTGTAGTCATTCCTCCTGGAAGCTGAGGGTGTGGGAAGGAGGGCACTGGGAGCTGTGTCCATGAAAAGCTAAATCAGTTTTGGGTTATTTAGAGGTGAGCTGGTACCCACTGAGAATCTGCATCTTGCTGGGTTTTTTTTCCAGTGCCAGTCATTCCTTTGAGAAGGGAAAAACTGGGATTAGCACAGAAATCCACGTGTCCATCTCAGTCTGCCTCACTTCCTAAATGCACTCCCTCACATCCCACAGCTCGTTGGGCATGGTGGGCAGGGGCTGGCAAGCCCCATTCTCCCAACTCCAGGAAAAGCAGACAATGGGAAGCAAAGCGAACGTGCTCTAATGCTGCCACCTACCTTCAGCAGCTCCAACTGCTCCCCCAGGAGCTCTCCCTGGAATTCCATGGCATTTTTTAATACACTCTATGTAGGTCAAATTCAATTCCAAGATGATTGTCCAGTGCTGAATTGCAGGAATAGTTTTGGTGGGGCTGATCCTGCCCTGGGGCTTTGGGGTGATGGGTTTGTCTGTCCCATCCCTGTTTGCTGCCAGCTGCAAAAGCCACCTCCCTCCTGCTGGAATTCCAGTGCTCTGGCATCCTTGGGGGGCTGTTCCTCCTCCTGGTGGCCCTTCCCTGAGGAAGTTTGCAGCAGAAGGGTTGTGTAACCAGGCAAGAAGTGAACAGGCAGAGCTGATTTGGGCTGCTCTGGCTCCTTCCAGGGCCAAACCATTCTCCAATTAAATGGGATCAGGAAGGATCCTGAATCTAACAGGAAAATGAATTGCTGGTGTTCCTAAAATAATCAAAAGTAGGCAGTGGTAGAGCTGCAGCAGGACAGGCATAGTTTGGAAAGACAGCAGCTCTTTCCGTGGAATTGGAGCTGCAGGGGAGATTTTCCAGAGCAGGAATGGAGTTGATCTGTGGACGTGGAAATGCAGGGGTTGCACTATGAGGAGCTGTGGATTTGTGCACGCCCATGAGTGAGGAAGGAAGTTCCTCATGGATCAGCCAAGGGTTTATTGACAGCTGGGAGTGATTCCCTCCCTGATTCCCTCCCTGATTCCCTCCCTGTTCACACGGGGCACTGACAGCTCCGGCGGCTGCGGGAAGCAGCCGAGCCACGCGCTCTGCAGAGGGGCTGCCCTCGCCTGAGCAGCTTTCCTTTGCTTTCCTGTCCCTCCCAGGTGTGGCAGATTCCCGAGAACGGGCTCACCCTGTCCCTGACAGAGCCGGTGGTAGTGCTAGAAGGCCATTCCAAGAGAGTTGGCATCGTGGCCTGGCATCCGACGGCGCGGAACGTGCTGCTCAGCGCAGGTAGGAGCACAGCAATGGGCGTCATCAGCTCCTCTCCCTGCCTTCCTTCCTCTCCAGCTTTTCCTTCTTCCCTCTCCCAGCTGCTCAGATCCCTGGGAATCACAAGACCCGTAGCAGTAGCTGGGAGCACCGGGACACGTGGCTCACAGCCCCCTCTGTATCTCAGCCTTTTTTATCTTCAGTTTACAGGGATAAGCACTGAGGAATTGTCTGGAACTGGAGTGTGAAAGTTGTTCCAGACTTTATTTGATCTGCAAGAACAATTTACATCTGTATTCCCCACATCCCTGTTCTCATATGCTTTTAGAACAAGCCCAAGTGTTTCTCCTTTCCCTTGATCCCTGCAAAGTATCCCAGAGTCCACAAGATCTTATGGGCAGCATTTTCCAAATTGTCTCCTTGGCTGGTACAGTCCATGGAATGAGATTCTTTTGACCACTGAAAATCAGTCACATCGTTATGGAAATAAATTGGATAATTCATTATCCATTGGTACCATCTGAGACTTCCATGGGTTTGGTCCCAAGGAAAGAAGTGTGTCCTTTCAGCTGGATTGTTGGATGAGCTGGATGTTTTCTATTGATAAAAATCCCTCCTGAGCTCCCAGTCTGGGTTTTGGTTTCCCCAAAAACCACTTTGGAGCTGCAGGGGGTTTATTCCTTGTTCCCCACCTCTGACTTTGCCCCTCTGTCCCCCAGTTCTGTGACTGGAGCTGTTATTTCCCATTTTAGGCTGTGATAATGCCATCATCATCTGGAATGTGGGAACAGGAGAAGCCCTCATCAACCTGGATGACATGCACGTGGACATGATCTACAACGTGAGCTGGAATCGCAACGGCAGCCTCATCTGCACAGCTTCCAAAGACAAAAAAGTCCGAGTTATCGACCCCAGGAAACAAGAAATTGTTGCTGTAAGTTTGCTTAATCCTTAAACAACTGGATTCACTCCAGCAGGAAGTGAAGAAAATATGGAAGAAATATGTGGGGTTTACACACCACGTTGAGTCGCTTTCTTCAGAAATTACAGGAGGAATAGTAGGAGTTGGAGGATTTGTCTGGGTTTATTGGGATTAGTGTTTGAACTGGGATTTTAGGGCTCAGTTTTAAACCTGCAGGAGTGTAATTCCACATCTAATCCTTTTGTATAATTACAGTTCCAGAGTTGTGCATGCAAAGCAGAGCTTTAGTTGTAGCTTCCAAAGAGGTTTTCCTTCAGCCTTGCAAGAGGCAAAGCTGGAATGAGCCAGGAGTGTCCCCTTCTCCCGTGGCTGTGTTTGGGCTCTTCCCTCAGGCAGCAGGGGAGGAGAGCTGGGTGTTGGAGAGGAGCAGTGCGTCCAGAGAGGAGCCACCACTCCAAGGGTTTTTCTGTTCACTGCTGGTCCTGATCTGCTCCTCTGTTCCAGGAGAAGGAGAAAACCCACGAGGGAGCCCGGCCCATGCGAGCCATTTTCCTGGCGGACGGGAACATCTTCACCACCGGCTTCAGCCGCATGAGCGAGCGGCAGCTGGCCCTGTGGAACCCGGTACGAGCCCAGCCTGCATCCCTGGGCTCCTCACATCCATGGCCTGCTCCTCCCAACCCAGCCCTGCAGCCATGGAATCCTGGAATGGCTTGGGTTGGGTTGGATGGGGCATTAAAGCAAATCCCGTTCCAATCCGTGGGCAGGGACACCTTCCACTAGCCCAGGTTGCTCAAAGTCCGTCCAAACAGGGATGGAGCAGCCACAGCTTCTCTGGGGTCTTCTTCAGGGCTTCACCACCCTCACAGAGAAGAATTCCTTCCTAAATTCATAGTTTATATACTTGAGGTTATTCCCACTCCATCTGCTGCCTGCTCCTGCTTCCATGATTTTGCTGTGTGGTCACTCAGTGAAGGAACTGAGCAGGTGCTGCGGGTTGGAAGTGCTGGGAAGATGCACAGGGAGCAGAGGGGCTGTGGGAAGGTCACTTCTCTCTGTGCATTGTGGAGAGCAGGCAGCAGCAATCCCAGGAGGGTTCAGGGTGGAAGTTCCACCTGGATTGTGTCCAGGTGGCTTTTGAGTGTCCCCAGGGAAGGAGGCTCTGTCCCATCTCCCATCCTACTGACACTAACTCACTGTGTCACATATTTCCCTTGACTTGGTGAATTTTCCTGGCTCCTGTTTTTATTTAATTTAGTGATTAAAATGCCCTTGGGGAATGAATCAGTTCATGAACATTCCCAGCATTTGTTGTAACACACGGATCCTTCTGGGTGGTGCAGACACCACTGGGAGCTCGCTGCCTACAGAGTGTTAATAACTTAGACCCTCCCTCTTATGAACAGAAGCTTTTCCATTCTTTATTAACATCCCTGGCATTTTTATTTCCAGAAAAACATGGAGGAGCCAATAGCCCTTCACGAGATGGACACCAGCAACGGGGTCCTGCTGCCCTTCTATGACCCAGACACCAACATCATTTACCTGTGTGGGAAGGTAAGGAGAGGCTTTGGAGGCACCTGGAGCCTGTGAAATGTTCCCCAAAATATCAGTGCTGCAGAGAGACCAGGCTGCTCTGGAAAGGGTTTGATCCTCAATTCTGCAGAATCTGGGAAGGACCTGGATGTTTCTTGGAGATGGGTTAGGTAAAGCTGCTCCTGATGCAACAAGTCTGAAACTGTTGCCTAAACATTTCTTGCTGGTGTTAACCTGGGTGGTTTTACACTGGAATGGGAGGAAGGTGCATTTTGGGTGTTGTCCTTGGAGATGCTGGAGCATGTAGTGACTCTCTGTAATTTTATGGGGTTAAAGAATAGAAAACTGGAATTGGGTACTCCTTTCTAGAAGCAATTTGTAGGAATTTGATGCCCACATTTGATGGACTCCTACAAATAGGAGCCCAAGCCAAGATGAGCAAGGAATTACAAAGGAAGGTCCATACAAGTATGTTCATAAATCCCATCTTTGTAGCAGCTGGTGAGGAATATTTGGTTTCTATCAGCCACTCCTCCTGCAGTTTCAGAGACCGCAGTGTGGTGAAATTGCTTGCAATTGAGGATAAACTGGTTTATAGCATTTCTGCCTGATTGTGGCAGGAGGTTTTTCCACAAGAGGTGACTTGGGGCCACTCCCAGCCTGGGAGCAGAGCTCAATCCCTTCCCACAGTGTTTGGAACAGGACTGGGAGGAATTGTTCACTTGATGGACTCAGATTGTGGAGGGGATCAGCCTTGCTTCAAAAACAGCTGTGAGCTGTCCATGGCAGCATTCCTGGAAGGAAATGGGAGCAGCAGTGTGGGCACAGGGAGCACAGGTGCTGCAGCTTCTCCTGGGGTTCCTTGCAGGGTGACAGCAGCATCCGCTACTTCGAGATCACGGATGAGTCCCCGTACGTTCACTACCTCAACACCTTCAGCAGCAAAGAGCCGCAGAGGGGCATGGGGTTCATGCCAAAGAGGGGCCTTGATGTCAACAAGTGTGAGATTGCCAGGTGAGGAGAGCTCATCCCAGGGCTGGGAGCTGGGGCCGGGCACTGCAGGAGTGGGTGAAGCAGCAGAGCACTGAGCACAGGGCAGCCGTGGTTCAGAAAAGCTGGGGAGAGCAGGAAACATCTCAGGATGTCACTGTGGTGACATCACTGTTGTCTGGGAACATGAGCCATCTTTTCTGCCAGGAAACAAGTGATAGGACAAGGGGAAATGTCCTTGGATATTAGGAACAATTTTTTCATGGAAAGGGGGGTCAGGCATTGGAAGGGACTGCTCAGGGCAGGGGTGGAGTCCCCATCCAGGAGGGATTAACAGCACTTGGGGACGTGGGTTATGGTGGCCTTGGGAATGGTTGGACTTGATGGTCTCAGGGATTTCTGTGGTTCCTTGGGGTTGCTGCTTTCCCATGTCCTCCATCTCCCTGATCCTCACTCCCTGTCCCACCTCTCCTTTTCCACACAGGTTCTTCAAGCTCCACGAGAGGAAGTGTGAGCCCATCATCATGACGGTTCCCCGCAAGGTGAGCACTGCCCTGGGGCCGGGCTTTGGAGCCAGCTCCTGCCTCCCAGAGCTCCTGACTGATCCATGTCTCCTGCCTTGCAGTCTGACCTCTTCCAGGATGACCTGTACCCGGACACAGCCGGCCCAGAGGCAGCTCTGGAAGCAGAGGAGTGGTTTGAGGGGAAGAACGCTGATCCTCTCCTCATCTCCTTGAAGCACGGGTACATTCCAGGCAAAAACAGGGATCTCAAGGTGGTCAAGAAGAACATACTGGACAACAAACCTGCTGGCAACAAGAAGGGTGATCTCATAAACGCTCCAAAGAAAGCAGCGGATGCCTCAAACTCCGTGAGTAAACTCCAGGAATTGTGGGGGTGATGGCCTCAGGTGGGAATGCCAGGGTGGGACCAGTGACAGGACCTGAGGGAATGGCTGGAGCTCTGCCAGGGGAAGGTTAGGCTGGATATCAGGAAAAGATTCTTCTTCCCCCAGAGGGTGCTGGGACACTGACCAGGCTTCCCATGAGATGTCACAGCCCCAGGGAACAGCCTGGGATTGTTGGGGTGTCCTGGGCAGGGCCAGGAGTTGGACTGGATGATCCCTGTGGGTCCCTTCCAACTTGGGATATTTATTCCATGACTCTGTGATTCTAATGCTTCTGTAGACATGGAAGATTACTTGGAATTGCTTTTTCTAAATCACAGAACCACTAAATGTTTGAGAAGATTTTCAAGATCCCTCAGTCCAACCCTAATTGAAGATCCCCAAGTCCAACCCTAACCCAGCACCAGCACCTTGTTCACCACTAATCCCTGTCCTTTGGGACAGAGAGGAAAGTGTGGCTTTGATGCTCCTGGGTGGGTGCACTGGAGATGCTGCTCCATGCCCTGAGCATCCCAACTGCTCCCAAATCTGTCACAGCCCCATCCCTCCAACAATCCCACAGGGAGGAGCCCTTTCCTTGGAGAACCCCAGAGCTCTCCCAACTCATCCTTTCTGATCTTCCAGCAAAACGACGCCAAATTGGACGAGATTTTGAAGGAGCTGAAATCCATCAAGGACACGATCTCCAGCCAGGACGAGCGCATCTCCAAGCTGGAGCAGCAGATGGCCAAGATCGCGGACTGAGGGCGCCCCAGCCCAGGCACATCCCAGCTCCCAGTTCAGCCAGCAGCAGCCTGCAGCATTCCAGTACGAGCTTTCCTGTTCTCCTAAATCCACGTCAAGAGAGCCGATGATTTCAAGCCAAGCTTTTTAGTGAAAGATCTTTTTCGTTTCCCGATGTTCCAATGAATTTCTGTGACTGTGTCAAAAACAAGAAGTGCTACTTTTACAAGTTTGTTTTTTTTTTTTTGGGTTTTTTTTCCCAGATGTTATTATGAATCTTTAAAAAACGAATCCGTTCTTGACTTCCAATGTCATGCCCAAATATCTTTTTCTAGATTTAGGGACCAATGCCACATTGTTCTTAAACCTTTTTTTTTTTTAGAGTTGCCAAAAAATAGAAAAAAAAATCGCTTTTATTTTTCTTATTTGCCACTTTGCAGTATTTGTGTTTCCATTCCAAGGGACAGGGGGTGTGGGGGGTGTTTACACTGTGCAGAGAACAAAGCTGAAGCTATTTTGTATAAATCCTCCATTTGGAACAATCAGGTGGGTTCCCTTCCTTTCTCTTCCCTGTGGAATCCCCTTGGAGATGGGATCAGCTGCCTTTCCTGCTCCACAAAGTGTCCCCAGCCCTGTTGGCTGACAGAAAAATACAAATATATCATTCTGAATGAGGGGATTTATTTCCTACTGAAGTTTTAAGCCAGCACCATGTTCCCATTTTCCTACAATCCCAAAGTTTGTTTCCATGACCAAACTCACCCGTTTTACTTGCTCATTTTTATCTCCATTTCATGGCAGAAGTGATTTCCATGCAGGAATGTTTTTATCCATGGAGCATGGAGTTCCAGGTGAGCTGTGGGATGCCAGCTGTCATTGCTGTAAATCCTTGTTCTTGCCCCCCAACACTCCTGAGCTCATGGATTTTAAGGAGCTTTTGGAATCCATCAGCCCTTCACACCAGTGCTGATAATAGGAATTTTCTGTGCTTCCAAAGCAGCATTAGCAGCAGAAAGGTGATTTTTTCCACGATAATTCTCCACAAACAAAATGCCTCTGTTGTTACTTTTTTTAATCATTTGTTTTCTCCTGTCCATCATTCCCATTCCTGCCTGCCACCCTTCCATGCAGGAAAGGATTTGTTTGTTCCCAGACCAGATGAGCGACCTCCAACCCCAAACCCCACCGTGCACTCCCAACCCTTCAGAGCAGAAGGCACTGGGAGGGTGGATTTGATCCCACTTTGGAGAGCTGGTTTCTCACACAGCTCCTTTGGGATCCTGCAGGGAGAGGCCCTGTGAGTGCCCCTCCTGGCATTCCATGGGAGCTGAGCTCAGCAGAGCCGTGCCGGGCAGGCTGTGCCCTGTGGAGGAGCCGTCAGGGATGGTGGGGCAGGCTGGCTCCCTGCTCCCAGGCCGTGTCCTTGTGCTGGGAATGGGATCCAGGACAGAGCTGTGCCCAGCACGAGCCCATCCCTGCAGTGCCAGGGAGTGCTGATAACCCATCCTGGATCCAAAGGTGGGCAGAGACCATCAGGTGTCTGAGAGCTCTGGATCCTCATCCCAGCCGGGCTCTGTCCCTGTGGCAGCTCCGTGTGTTCCCACCCGGAGCATCCCCGTGGACACGAGTCCCTCATCCAGGCTGAAGTGATTGATTTTTTTATTATTTTCCATTAGTTTAGCTAGGAATTCTCTGATTTTCCATTTTTCCCAGTGTTTGCATGTTCAGAATTCCAGGTTAAGGATTCCCTGTTGTGGAGGGATGTGTGTGTGGAGGCAGAATCGGCCGGGGGACGTAGCTGGAGAGGCACGAGGAGGACGGGATGGAGGAGACAGAGGATGTGGTGGGATTGCAGAGCAGGAAAGCTTCAGAAAAGTGGGATTTCTGTGTTTTAGGGACAAGTGGCATCCCCTGCCCTGTGCCCGTGGATCCACAATCCGGCTGCTCCAGGTTCTTTGGCTGTTTGGTGACGTTTCTGTATTGCAGTAAATGCCTGAGATGTGTATTTTTATGGATTTTATTTTTTTTTTTCCTTTTGGATCCCAAACCCGAAGGTTGTTCTCCCCACAGTGGTGATTTCTGTGTTGATTTGTACGTGTGACTTCAGGGTTGTGTGCTCGGGGACCTCGGGTTTGTTCCTAACATTGGAGGGAAATCAGTTTTGGGAGCCGCTGGATTGAGGTGCCCGGGGGTGGGGGTGTGGGAGATTTTAGTTCCTAGCCTGTATTTTATTTAAATGAACTGATGCCTCGCCAGGCTCAACCGGAGTCAGTGCCTGAAGCTTTTTGTAGCCGTGATATCCCGGGAGAGAACCAGCCCAGTCCGGAAAGACGCGCTCTTATAGAGCGGCCAGAGTATCTGTCCAAATATTTGCTTCCATTTTCAAAAGATAAAAGTCATTGATTATAAACTGCCTCTGCTTGGCTTTTTCCTTTGCCTCTCGGCATTCCAGCTCTGATTGATAACTGGAATGTGGAGTGAGGGATGCTTCAGTGGGGGGCTGTGGATGAGGGGGTCCTTGGGGACCTTCTGCTCTTGTCCCAGGAGAGCCAGGGCCCGTTCCTGGAGTCACACATGGAATCTCCCTGGTGATTCCCAGTGAGGAACCCAAGGGCTTGGCTGGGTGTGGGATGTGATGGGATCCCGGGGTGGATGGGGGTGATGTGTTCCCAGGAAGGAGCAGCCCTGCTTGGGAGCCACCCTGGATCTGAGGGGGCTCATTCTGCTTTCCCCAGGTGAAATTTGTTTTCAGGCTGCAGGAAGTCTGAAATGACACAGAGCCCGGGCTGGAAACAGCATCTCTTACCCCACCCAGGTTTGAGCTTTCTCAGGGCTGCGGCATTTCAGGGGATGTTGCACAACCTCCTCCAGAACACCCTGACCCTGACACCGCCCCAAAGCCGGGCAGGGATGCTCCCAGAGAATGAGTGCTCCCTGATCCCATGGATCCATCCCGGGGATGCTCATCCCACATCCTGAGCCCCTTTTCTTCCCTTTTCCAGCCCCCGGCCAGGTGTTTCGGAGCGGGGACGGGCCGGGCTTTCCGAGGGCGGGG